AGTAGGAAAAATTTTGAATTTACATACTAAATATTTTTATTATGAGAATATATGGTTGAAAATTATTTTTAGAAAAAAAAAAAAGATGCTTTTGGAGAATGATTGATAAACAGGTCTAATTATTGATTTTGAATTACATTTTTGTCAATTTTTCAGTTACACCAAATAGAACATTGTCTCTTTTTTAAATCGTTAAGCAGATATAATTAGTGTTTTAAAAAGCGAGTCTAGACAACGCGTGATGCAAAACAACTCTCTTCGGGCCTTGTGCGCCTTTTTTTTGGGCTTTTTTGCGTCTAGGCGCTTTTTTTCTTTTTTTAATATAGTATTTTATAATTTTAGATATTTTGTAGGTATTATTTTAATTATTAAATAATTATTAAATTAATTAAAGATTAAAAATACTATTAAAATAAGAAACATTTTTTTACGCCTAAACTCGTCAAATTCGAAACTTCAACTCCACGTCTAATCATAATTAAACAAGTGAGCATGCATGGAATCGGCCACCGAATTCATAGTGGGGCGGCTAGCAGAGAATGGCCTGAAGACTTTACGTAAATGGGATTATTTTTCTTAAAACCACCAAGAAAGGTAGATTAATATATTAATATATACTGAAAAAAAAAATATTAAAACCAATACAAACTTAGGAGGAAATAATAAACTCATTTATTCTATTGAATATTAAAAATAGTTACCCAAATTCTTATAAATTGGTCTATATTTTTATCTTTATTCGACATGAAATTTTATCTCAGCATATATACTTGCATGCAAATAGAAACGCACGTACGCTTGGATGGAACCCTTCCTTTCCATTACCAAAAACGAACATGGTAGGTCCAACTTGCAGATTGATTGACATGAATTATTGCTTTAGAATTAAGACTCCTTAACTAATCTCATAATTAGGCTTATGCATAGACAAACATGCCTACATCTTTCGTCACATCCACAAAAATTAGCCTTTCAATATCACTCAGCAATAATAATGCTTTACAATTATGATATAGTAAATAATCTACTTTTACGAGCTTCGATTTTTTGGATAGAAAGCCATTTTTTAGAGAACGAGTAATTAAAAGCAGACAAAAATTTAAGATTTACGAGACAACAATGACACGTACACGAGAACTAGTATTTAACTCAACAGAAGATGATGATGATGATGATGATGATGATGGAAAGCATGACAAAAGGCACGTGAAATTTTAAGTATAGCTAATTAATATTGATCGACTCGTCAATTTCTTTGCTCTATTTAACATATAGTTCGAATTTCCAACAATGGATTGATGTAACCTATCACCTGTTGGAATTACAAAATTGCATACCTTTGGTCTTCGTTTTCACCCACTATTGATTTTAATCGAAGACGGGACCCTCTTTTGGTTTATTTTCGAAATAAAAGACTAGTTTGAAGACACTTGAATTAATTCTCTCGATTTACATTAATCTTTAGTGTTGTGTGGTAGAATACAAGTTCCGACCGCAACTAACGAACTAATTTTGTAAATGAAAATGTAGGCGGTGATTGAGATGACGAAGACGGTAGTGGCAGCAGTGGCATATTTGATAGGTTGAGGTGGTTATGGCGGCAATGGTGCTGTGAGGCTTGATTTCGATCATGTGGTGATCGGTTGGATAAGGTTTTGCAAGTGATGGCTTATGGTGGAGATGCCAATGGTCTAGTGGTGGTATTGTAGATGATGTGACACGATGTCTTAAGTGGCATCAGCGGTGGCTGAGATGCAAGTGTGTAATAAAGTTTGATATGACTGTTGGGATGGTGATGACGTTTGTGGAAGAGAAATTATGTGGCATAATATATGTAACACATTGAGTTACAAACTGCAATTTAAAGAATTAAAAAATAATAATAAGAAAGCTCTAGTGATCTATACAATTTCTCTCACGGATTGGTTTCTCAGAACAATCATAATCAAAACTCTAACAATTTACAGAGAAAACACCTCAAAGATTACAAAAAAAAATTAGACAAGAAAAACCTTAAAAACAATCACTCAGAAAAGTCACGAAGCAGCGGACAAAAGAGAGAGAGAGAGAAGTGTATATATACTCAGGTAAAAAACCACATATCGAACTATCACAATTGCACCAAATGAAGGATCCAGATCAAAGCATTCCAATAGCCAAAGTCGTGTTTCAAAAACACGATTTTGGTATAAGTGGACCAGAACTCGAACACAAAGGAGTACTTACAAAAATACCTTTAAAATTAGAAATGTTTTGAAAAATCATATGAAAGGTTTTTAGAAAGTAAAAAATACTGTGTAAAATAAAAAAAAGTGTTACAATGTCACTTTTTAAAAAAAAAATGACACAAACTCAAAAAAGTGACAACAAAATAAAGTGTCGCATACTCTCAAAAAGTGATACAAACTTCAAAAAGTAACACAAACTCAAAAAAAGTGACAAATATCAAAATAACTAGTTGCTTGTTCCTACATTCATCATAGTAATGCTAATAAACTACATTTTGAGATTAGTTAAGTATAATCCTCTAGCCAATTTTCTTCATCACATGCAGCAAGCCAACGGTCTATCTTATCCATTATCTCTTTTCGGCTCCAAGCTTCATCTTTTGCTTTGTTCATTTGAATATCAATGTTGGCTAAGAGTTCACAAGGATCCACCACACCTGCAGAAGAGGAAGGTTTCATACTTGTTACCTTGTGAAAATGTGCACAGAGAGAGCATGACTCAAGAACAAGATTTACAACCAGAATCAATTAACGCATTAGTTTTATCATCAGCCATGCTTGGATCAAGTTTAATATGGGTTCTATAACATATATCCTCCAACTCAGGGGTGGACATGGGGTGTTGCTTGGGGGAGCAGGTGCCCCCCTACCCAAAAAAAAAAAAAAACCAACCCCAATCCCCGTCATCGCAGCCCACCCCCTCGTCGCTGTAGAAGTCCTAAGAAGGTTGTCGAGCTCGATGACCAGATCTCTAACCTGACCCCTGAGGTTGGGCTAAGTCAATCATCACATCCCATCTCATTCCTTCCCTTCCCTTCACCTCCACCAACAAGAAGTTCTGCCTATTGCAAGTGATTGAAGTCATTTTTCCTTTTCGATTTGGACCTTCCCGTCGAATACGGACTAGACTGGAAACAAAGGGTTCGTGAGGCATGATTTGGGGTTCTGAAATTCAACAAGTCCTTAAAGACTGAAGTTGACGGAGGATTTGGTAATGGCGAAGGAGGACATGAAGTTAAATTTGTCTTCATTTTTCTTGATTCCATTTTTCTGTGATTTGGGGTATTCTTCAATGAATTTTCTGAAAGAGAATTGCGGAGTGTTTTTTATGGGGAGTGTCTGAAGGTAGTGAATTGAATATTTTGAGATTTATCGTTTGAATTTGAATGTGAACGTATGATGCTCATCAAGCTGGCTCTCTTCTTATTCTGGTTTCTTGGGCTGCAAAGAAGGAATGATTGACATGGTCAATAGGTGTCGGCGATGAGGCGGTGGTCGGACGGCAATTTGTTGGGAGTGTATTTGATTTTTGGGTTAGGGGATTAGGGAAGATTGAAGGAGATGAATTTTATTTTGTTGATTTTGTTTATTTTTTATATTAAAATTATAAAGTTACCATTTTACCCCTGCCTTATTTGGTCAAAATTATTAAAATTTTAATTTTTCAGGTCAATCGACGATTTTTTGGATCAAACTGACGGAAACTGTCAATCTAGACTTGGGCTGCGATTTTTTTTTTTGTTTTTTTGAAGGTTTGGCACCTATGGTGGTACAAATCAAAAGTTTGGGCACAAAGTCTGCAAAAAAAGTGAAAGGTTTGGTACTGCAGCTACAATTTTTCCCAATTAAAATGTGGTGTAAAAAATAAAAATTATGGTGACAATATTATTACCCTTTTCCTTAATCAATCAATCAATAAAATTACACTTTCATCGTTTGAAACAAAAAGCGTACACGTGCAAGCAGAAAGTTAATACTACGCCTCTATTTGGCTAATCCATAATATATTAAATATCGCATCAAGTGAGAATTATTTTCTGAACGATTTTAGACATACTACAATTTAATTATTTCAATAGTACCTTACTTTTAGTTTTTCAATATATATTTAATTGAATATTAATTATTAAACATGCACACAAATCAATAATTGAATTGTA